CTAACTTTAAAGAGAATGCTTTTACCATTTCACTATTGTGAAACTTTTTCTTTGTTTTCTTTTTACATTCTTTCTTTTTGTTAAGAATGCTTCATTGTATTAAGTAAGTTTATCTTCTATATTTATATTACTAGTTTGCTAAGAATTTTTTAAAACAACAAAATTTTCCCACTTGTTTTAGAATGATCTTAGAATTTTTCTCTATGAAGATATTATTGTGTCAAAACGCAGTAATAGATTTTCTAACGTGAAACCATCGTTCCTTTCCTGAGATAAACCTTACATGGACATGATGATCTTTTAAATACATTATTGGTTTGGTTTGCTGCTATTTATTTCAGTATTTCACGTATATGTCCATAAGTGAGATCAGGCTACTATTTTTCAACTTCATACAATCCTCATAACATGAGTTAAGAAAAGTTCCATTCTTTTTTTTTTTTTCTGTTCTTTGAAACAATTTATATAAAATAGAGATTATCTGTTCCATATAACTTTGGAAGAATTCATCTATCATAAGTCTGGGCCTCAAGGACATAAAAGAGTGTGTGTGTCTGGAGATATCTGGCTTCTAATTCAATTTCTTCAATGATTATGAATCTATTCAGATTTCGTATCCTTCCTCTAGTCATTGTTGGTAATTAGTATTTTGTAAGAAATTGCCCATTTTGTCTGTGTTTTCAAGTTAGTTGGAATAATTTAATAAAATTATAATCTTATTTTTTTAACATCTGTTCTCTTCATAACTGTGCCTCTTTTTTACTTCTAATGTTTTATCTGTGCCTTCTCTATTATTCACTGATTCAATCATAGCAGGGTTTGTCTATACTTTCAAAAACGAACTTTTGGTTTTGGTGATCTCCTCTATTGCTCGTTTCTTTTTTTTTTTTTTTAATACTCTTCATAAAATATATTACAAATACAAAAGATTACATATAGCATAGATGTGTTTTAATAAATAATAAAGTGAACAGTAGGGTATTCACCTTTAAGGACAAGAAATAGAACATTATTAATATTTTTGAAGTCCCTCTTCCCCATTGAATTTCCTTTCCTCCTTTAATTCTGAAAAGTCACATAACCACTAACAGAATGATTTTTGTGTTAATCATCTATTTCCCTGCCTCTGCTTAATTTTATCCCTCCCATGTGTATGTATCTCTAAAGAAGATCCAGTTTTATTTTGCCAACCTTTGGCTTTTAAATATATGCAGTTATATACTAATAATATGCAACTTGCTTTCTTCGCTTAAAATTATGTGTGTGAAATTTATCCGTGCTGAGGATATAGCAGTAGTTTATTCATTTTCATTGCTGTATAGTGCATCATTGGAAAGAATGCACAATGAATTCATTAACATAATTTTTGAAAGGGATAATATTCATATACAGATTTTAGCTATGTTACACTTTTTGAAACTATAAAATAATTTGATACAATATTTTTGTAGGATTGGATACATTACTGAAAACAAAATAAAGTGAAATATGTAAAGGCAGTATTATATTAATGATGATAACTAATGTCCTTTCAAAATATTTTTTAAATAACTACTGTACAGAAGAGTGCCCACACTTAAAATTAAAATATAACAAATTAAGATTTAAAAAATGTTAATATAAAGTACTGCCTACTGAAGCCTGGGAAAAATTAATTGTTTCATTTACAGTGCTGTGCAAATTTTATTAATTGTTTGATAGAAAGCTTATCAGACAAATAATTAAACCCCGACAGAAAAATCTAACCTCAAGGAGAGTAACACTTAAAGGCGTTATCTACAGCTGTTTCATTTTCACGCTGTTCGGTTTTACAGTGAATACACAAAGCAGGCTTTCTCAAATAACACCCTTCTTTAATAGAGGAAAAAGAAGTTAAAGAACAGAAATTTATGGAGTGTCTGAAATATAAAGGGGATCTTCTTGACTGAGCACAGTAATTATAGAATTTTAAGCTTTTAATCTCCCGGTGGACACCTGCCTTCTGCAAAACAGAGTACTACCTTTCAAATTCTTATCACCTTAAAAGTAAATTGCAAGATTTCTCTCTCCGTATTCTCAGTACTTAGACGATTCTAATATATTTTCTTTTACCCTAACTCATTGTAAGATGGGAACTGTAGTTCAATAGAAAGTATGATTAACCAAAGGTCACCACCGATACCATATATGGAATAGAACTGCCATGCGATTATAATAGAACCAAAAAATGTGCATGGGCTTACGTTTTAGTTATTCAGAAGGTGCTTCGCCTTCTAGCTGTATCTCAATATGAACATCACCAATCTCCTTTTAAAAAGATAGCTGATAATGCATCAGTCTAAGCATATACTAAAACTTTGACTTTCCTAAGTTTGTAGTTTTAAAATAAACTAGTTCTCACTTTATTTGCATTTACCTTTTTTTCACTAATGTAAAAGTCAGTAGATATTATTGTACTCCCCTTTATTTAAAATGATGGATACGTCAAATGTTATCAAGAACTAAAAAAAAAAAGTCTTTCTGGCAAGCAGTCACATTATTTTCATTAATTAATACTATAAAATCTGAAAAGATAGAACGCTCATTTATAAACATAGGTTGCAAGTAGAAATTATATACTCCAAGGGGGAAAGTATAGTATTCCAAATGTTACAACTATTTTAGATCCTTTTGAAGAAGAGTCGTTTTAACAAAATTACAGATTACTTGTGTCCAAGTACGTAACATTTATAATATATAATAAATAACATAATATAATTCGTCCGGTAGATTTGATAAGAACAGCATTAACACATATTTAAAAGGATCTCATTATTTGTAACAGGCAGACAACAATGATCTGATGCGAATTAGTTTTCACCAACAATTTTTGTTGGTAAATTTCACTAACAATTTTTTTTTACCATATTAAGAAAAAACACTTTGAGAAACACTCAAAAACTTTCAGCAATAGTGAGATGGTCTGATGTGCTTCTTTTCGAATTTCCTCCTTTTTCTTCTTCTTCCTCTTTTCTTCGTGTGTGCGTGTGATTATTAAAAACTGTATTTGATAATAGTTTAGAGTGTGATTAAGGAAAAGGGTGGGAAAGAGATGCCGGAAAAGAAAAGTGCAAACTGGGAAGATTTCTCAGCCTCTGGGGCAGCTCAGTGAGAAGGCTGACATGTTAAGTGTCTCAGATTTGTGTTAAAGACTTGCTTTGAAAAGCTCTCTTCTTAGAACAAGCAATCGTTTTTTGAGAGATCCATTGAAGTCTCTATAAAATGAAAAGTGCTTCTAAAATCCTATGTCATTAATATTATACTGAAAGGTTCAGAGTCGTAGGAGTCAAAAGGAAATACAGATATGAGATGGTCAATAGACCATCTTTACGCATCCGGACCGAAATGGAAAATGTAAACTGGCGATTGCAGATGAAAGAAATTATCATTCTGTGTAACTCTCCACTGTTCAAGGCTCCCAGATATACCATTTAACCCAAAGTCTATTAAATTATTTTTTAGAATCGTCCCAGGCAAGTATGTCATTGACCAGAGCTGAAGCTTTGTCCATTTCGAGGTGCACGCACCTCCTGCCTCTCCACACCCCGACACGCCCCATCCCAGCTCCTTGTCTTCCACGCCTTCCCCTCGGGTGCATACGGGAAATCCTGGGAACACAGCACCCTCAGTGTCTTCTCCCCCCTCCCTAATCACTTCGCAGGGACAACACAAAAACACCAAATTCATGCTTTTAAACAGAAAAGCTAGAAACGCTTTCAAATGTATCTTAGAAGAACACATTTTGCGAGCAGTAACTATTCGCAAAAAGTCATTTCATCAGCTCAGATACTCTGTTGGAACAGCTCCAGGGCAGATCGACGCACTTATGTGTACAATTCCTCGTCCACAAATATACCTTAGATCATAACTACTAATCCAGTCTTCATAACTCGCTGATTTAAAGAGAGGACACTGCTTGGACCCACTCGCCCCGCTGGGGGGCGGGGGCGCAGTAAGAGTCCGCGTAACCAGAGTCCACCCAATCCCGAGGCAGCATCGTCGTCTCGCCCACCGGACCCCTTGCCCATCCTGGAGGGTCTCGCGGGTCCGCGACTCCTTTCCGCTCGTCCCAAGTGCAACCCAAGTCACTTCGGAAGCTTCGCGCCTAACCGCGCCGTCAGAGTTCCTCATTTTTAGCTCCAATTCTCCCGGGTTCTCGGAGAATTGTTCCTAACTTCCTCTCCATTCGGATCTCGCACTCAGCCGCAGGTTTCCGAGGCACAGGCGACCCCAGGCGGGCTCTGGGCCCACGCAGTCCTCCCGTGAGCAGGGCCGAGTACGACCCAACCCCCACCACACCACGACCCCAAATCCAGCCCTTGCGCAGCCTTCCCACACTACCGTGCCCCAGGCACGCCCTGCCCACGTCTGGTTGACTGGCGGGGGTGGACGGCTTGAATAATCTTTAGAGGAGATAAAGCCGAGAAACCCATTTCTCGGAGGCAACCCCACGCGGGACCCAGGGGCACAGCTCGGACAATTCCACTCACTAACGTCCCCATCCGAGGTTAACTTGGGAGCGGGAGGTGGGGAGGGTGGCCCCTTGAACCCCCCACATGTCTGTCTGTGTTTTGCTCGCTCAGGGATCTTAAATAACTGATCAACACTCTTCCTCCCTCTCCACCCAAAGGCGCCCCAAACACCCTCACCAGCCCGGCTGGGAGCCAGCGGAGCAGCGCAGAGCCCAACCCCTGCCCACCGGCGCCGGAGCGCAGCGAAGCCTGCACCACTCCCACTCAAACAATGGAACGCAGGGGCCCCAGACGACAATCTCAGTGCAAATCGCAGCTCAAAGACTCGTTTTCCCTCCGCATCCCTCCCAGCCGGAACTTGGGACTCGGACTTCCCCTGCGGGGGGATTGAGCAGAGTCACCGATGTCACCTTTGGGTCCCCTTCGTCCTCTACGGCTCCCCCCTGCAGAAACCAAGGCGGAACCACCCCCTTCCCCTCCGGTTCCCTCAGTTGGGGGCTGGTGGCTCACCATGAGGGTCAGCAGCAGCTGCCTGCAGAGGGCTCCGCGCGGGGAGCTCTGGAGCCAGGCGGTGGCCATCGGGGCGCCGGGCAGCGGAAGGGGAGCGCGGGCTCAGGCGAGGACGCCGAGAACGAGAGCCCGCGGAGGCGCACGAGACGCTTTCTTCACCGCTGCTTGTCTTCGAGTTGCTTTGGCCTCTCTCAGGCTTGCCTGCCCGGGAGCAGTTCTACCCTGAGACGGGATTGGATCCAGGAGACGCCGAGCGGCCCCTCCTTGTTATTTCTCAAGTTTTATCACCGCTGCCGCCGCTGG